GAGCTGAGGGACAGCGCCCAGGCCCAGAGTGCAGGCCCCACGACCAACCAAAAAATAAATAAATAAATAAAAATTTGCCGGGCGCCATGGCTCAAGCCTGTAATCTTAGCTACAGGCTGAGGTCTGAGGATCAAGGTTCAAGGCCAGTCCTGGGAGAAAAGTCCAAACCACTAGAAAACTGAAGTGGCGCTGTGGCTCAAGCGGTAGAACACTTGCCTTGAGCTGAAGAGCCTAGGGACAGCGCCTAAGCCCAGAGTTCAAGCCCCACGACCGACAAAAAAATAAAAATTTTTGCTGAGAATCTTCAAGTTTATAGAACATACTATGAACACCCTCTGCTGGTCTAATTGTAGCAAGCTGCATGACACAAATAAAATTGCTGACAAAAGAATAATAAAAGACGAATGATCAATGTAAATTAACATATCTGTAGACTTGGTGTTCCACAGGAGACTTGACTATGGGTCAAATGTAAAACTAAACTAGCTATGATCTTACTGTAACAGTTAAAAAGAATAATAACCAACAAATTGTACATCTTAATTCTTTGTGTTATTAGAACAGGATACTTACATTTTTATTTTCATTTTGACTGTTCATATATGATTTTTAGAAGCATGTTATCTGTCCTAAATAGACTTTTCTTAGTTTTCAGTTGTATACACATGTGCTCCTACATGCTGAGGATAAACATGTTAGTTTTTCATCTTGTTAATTTGTTTTTCATCTGAACCATTATAACTCAATGGTAAAAAGAAGAGCTTAAAGACAAAAGGCAGTGTTAACCAGTGTCAGTCCTTTTAGCTCGTAAATCATCTATGATTATTTGAAGAAACAGAAATGTGGTTATAGCTCATAAGCTATCCATTAACTAGGGTTTTGTTTGTTTGATTTGGTTTTTTACAATAAAGGTTAAATATCCCTTATCTGAACGGCTTAGTACCACAAGTATTTTGGACTTTTTCAGATTTTTGAATATCTGCATATACATGAGATATTTTGGGATGGACCTGTGACTGAACATAGTTCATTTATATTTCACATACACCTTATAAGCACAGAAAAATGACTGCTTTATACAATATTTTGCCAGATGGGGTGCAAGTGCCTATAATCCCAACTACTCAGGAGGCTAAGATCTGAGGATTATGATTCAAAGCCAGACAGAGCAGAAGAGTCTTACCACCAGAAAATCAGAGTGGCACTGTGGCTCAAAAGTAATAGAGCACCAGCCTTGAGCAAAAAAGCTCAGGAACAGAACACAGGCCCTGAGTTCAAGCCCATGACTGACAAGAGTGTGTGTGTGTGTGTGTGTGTGTGTGTCTGTGTGTGTGTGTGTGTGTGTGTCTGTGTGTATCTATGAAGCTTTAATCTGTCCTAATTACAACTTACAAACTAAAACACTTATTCAGACTTCTAATTTCTAGCACTAGCTCTCAGTTGAACTAACCCTGACAACAAACATAATAGTAAATTTGGGACAAATATTTTGGTTGTTTGTTTTGTTTTGTTTTTTGTTTTTAAGACAGGTTCTTGTTCAGGCTCACAATCCTCCTGCAAGACCATACTCAGATGCACCAAGTATTTAAAATGTATTATCTGAAACCATTGGAGGCTAACAAAAATCAGACAGAAAGTGCAACTGCTAAGGCAGACACCGGCGGCACACGCCTGTAATCCTAGCTACTCAGAAGGCTGAGATCTGAGGATCATGGTTCAAAGCCAGCCCCCAAGCAGGAGACTCTGATCTCCAATAAACCACTCAAAAAACCAGAAGTGGCACTGTGGTTCAAATGGTATAGCACTCACTTTGAGCTAAAGAGCTCAGGGACAGTGCCCAGGCCCAGAGTTCAAGCCCTACGACTGACCAAAAAAAAAAAAAGAAAAGAAAAAAGAAACTGCAACTGCTGAGATTTAGGAATTTGTAATGTTTTGCCTGAACTACGCCCAGAACAGGCCAGAGAGCCTTGCTTTACTACCTTAGGTATCAGAGGTCAGCGTCAAGAGCTTAAAAGTATAGCCAAAACATTAGAAGAAAGACATAAGAGAGATAGAAGGAATGGATATGAAATTTAACTCTAGTGTCTTTCCATTGTAAAGCTCCACATATATGGAGGGAGTATTTCAGCTGCTGTATGACACAAAGAACGTAAGAGTTTGGAAGCTGAGTTGTGACTTGCTATGTGCTGGAATAAGAATCACATTTCAGAAGAAAACGGAACCTAATGTCTCCATGATGTATTAGTCATGTCTAGTATCCAATAACAAAGCATTAGTTATAGAAAGAACAAAGTCTGACCCATGGGCAAAACAAACCCTCCATCAACTCAGAGATGACCTCCATGGTGTAATTATCAGTTAAGGACTTAAACTCAACTAGTAAAAATATGTTCAAGGACTTAAGAAAAATAGACATATAATAAATAAAAGGAGCATTTTAGAAGCATAGTATTGACTCCAGAAAATAGCCAAATGGAAATTCAAAAGCTAAAAATAACTGAAACAAGATGTTCCCTGTACTGAATTAACAGCAGATTGGAACTGGCAGAACAGTCAGTAAAGTCCAAATTAGAATATTAGGAATTATCCAATCTAAAGCACAGAGAAAGTACTGAAGCACATAAGTAAATAAGCTGAGCTTATGGGCCAATGGCAAGTAATTTATGCATAACTTCCATCCTAAAACAAACAAACAAAAAAAAAGGTAAGCCTCAAAAATAATAGAATTTTACTTTTTTTTTTTTTTTGCCAGTTCTAGCACTTTAACTCAGGGCCTAGGCACTGTCCCAGAGCTTCTTTTGCTAAAGGCTAGCACTTATACCACTTGAGCCATAGCACCACTTCCAGCTTTTTCTGTGTATGTGGTACTGAGGAATCGAACCCAGGGCTTCATGCATGCTAGGCAAGCACTCTACCACTAGGCCACATTCCCAGCCCAGAACTGTACAATACTGCATGAAAATTTCCCAAACATAGTGCAAGGCTTACAGGTCAAAATGCCTCTAGAAACCACATACAAGAAAATCACTGAGGCATGTCCTAGGCAAATTTTGTTGTTGTTGTTGGTGGTGGTGGTGGTGGTCAGGGGACCTGAACTCTGGGCCTGGGCACTGTCCCTCAGCTCTTCAGCTCAAGGCTAGCCTCTACCCCTTGAGCCACAGAGCCATTTCCGGCTTTTTTTTTTTGCTTATGTGGTGCTGAGGAATCAAACCCAGGTCCTCATGCATGCAAAGCAAGCACTCTACCACTGAGCCACATTCCCAGCTCCCTAGGAAAATTTTGAAAGCAGCAAGAGAAAAAGAATGTATTATATCTAGAATAAGAATGCTACCAATAAGAAAATGAAAAGACAAGGCTGGGAGAAAATCTTAAGCACATGGACTTACATCCAGACGTAAAACAAAGCAACCTGATAAATAAAGAGACCCTGACAAGCTGGGCACTGGTGGCTCATGCCTATAATCCTAGATACTAAGGAGGCTGAGATCTGAGAATCATGGTTCAAAGCCAGCCCTGGCAAGAAAGTTCATGAGATTCTTCTCTCCAATAAACCACTCAGAAAACCAGAAGCGGCACTGTGGCTCAAGTGGTAGAGTGCTAGCCTTGAGCTGAAGAGCTGAGGGACAGCACCCAGGCCCAGAGTTCAGGCCCTAAGACTGGACCCCCCCACCCAAAAAAAAAAAAAAGACTGATACTACTGCTCTACATGTATGGCAATCTGAAGGGAATATAAACCATTTGGTCCCTTTAATAAAGGGTTGGCACTGACTATACCGTAACAGCTCCATTCCTCAATAGTTATCCAAGAAAAATAAAACATTTATCTACAGAAATACTTATAAACAGCTTAATTCACAATGTTCCAAACTCAGACAATCCTAAAAGCCCACTAAGAGAATAATGAATAAACTGATATATACATACAATGAAATACTACTCCACAATAACAAAGAATAAACCATTAATCCATGCATAATACAAGGAATCTCATAGACAGTGTAGTAAAAGGAAATAGACACAAACCAATATACTTTATGATTCCATCTATAGGAAGTTTAAGACAAAACTAAGATTAAAAACAAAAGTTAGGCCAGGGACTAGTGGTTCATGCTTAACTACTAAAAAGCTAATGCTAACTACTCAATAGGCTGAGATTAAGGATCACAGTTCAAAACTAGCCAAGATAAAGTAAATTGGAAAACTAAAAAAGGAAGGGAAGGGAAAGGGAGGGTGAGGAGTAGAGGGGAGGGGAGGGCAAGGCAAGAAAGTCAAGGAGACTCATCTCCAATTAACCACCAAAAAGTTGAAAGCAGAGTTATGGCTCAAGTGGTAGAACACTATCCTTGAGTAAAAGAAACTCGGACAGCACCCAGGCCCTCAGTTCAAGCCCCAGGACTGACACATACACAAACAAAAAGTAAAGTTCAAGTACCAGTAATTCACAACTGTAATCTCAGCTACTCAGGTTCAAGTACCAGTAATCACAACTGTAATCTCAGCTACTCAGATTTAAGAATCACTGTTCAAAGCTACATGGGACAAAAAAAGTCTGAGAGACTCTTATCTCAAATTAACCACCAAAAAGTCAGAAGAGGTATAGTTCAAGCAGCAGAGCACCAGCCATGAGTAAAAAAGCCCAGGCCCTGAACACACACACACACACACACACACACACACACACACACACTTTTACCTATAATCCTTACTTAAGAGAGTAAGATCTTAGAATCTTGGTTTGAAGCCAACCTCTGGGGACAAATCTGACTCATTTCCAAAAATCTAGCAAAACACTGGAACTAGCAGAGAATGGCTCAAGTGGTAAATTGCCAGCTATGACCAGAAAAACAAAAAACAAAAAAACAAGAACATAGGGCTCTAAATTTAATCCCTAGTACAAAAAAAAGGAACATAATATATCAGAACAGGAACAACTTAAAACAATGTGATAATGGAGCAAACCTAAAAATTAAATAGGAGTTCAGACTTGATTCAGTTAGAGGTCTGCAAGTGTTCGAGCAGGAACTATTTACGAAGTGGGATATAATACTTTCAAAGTTTTACTTTTATAAAATGTTTTAAAATTAATTCCTTGGGCTGGGAAGGTGGCTCAGTGGCAGAGTGCTTGCCTTGCATGCCTGAGTCCCTGGGTTCGATTCCTCAGCACCACATAAGCAAAAAGAAAAAAAAAAGCCGGAAGTGGCGCTGTGGCTCAAGTGGTAGAGTGCTAGCCTTGAGCTGAAGAGCTGAGGGACAGCACCCAGGCCCAGAGTTCAGGCCCCACAACCGGACACAAAAAAAAAAAAAAAAAAACATCCACACTGTTTTCTGCAGCAATCAAAAAGAGCACTATACATAACTGGGAGGTCTTTTTCAAATAAAAAAAAGGAAAGCAATATTTATGCATGAGAGGAACCCATTTTTGGAAAAAGAATGTCCCTCCATTGGTACATATAGATGGTTTATGTGTATGTACAAATATTAGTGTGTATATATACAGACATTTATATGCAAACAGGAAAAAGCAAGAGAGGCTATGTCCCAGAAGGTTAAGTTCATGACCTATGAGGGGACAAGGTGGGGGATGACTGGAGGGACAAACTGAATTCATGTTTCCTTTTCACAATTTCATAATGCTAACTTTCCAATAATTATTCTCTTTTTTTAACCTTCTCTCCTTCCATTCACCTCCCTTCCCCCCCATCCTTTTTTTTGCCAGTCGTGGCTTGAACTCAGAACCTGGTCACTGTCCCTGAGCTTCTTTTGCTCAAGACTAACTATCACTTGAGCCACAGTGCTATTTCCAGCTTTTTCTGTTTATGTGGTGCTGAGGAATTGAACCCAGGGCCTCATGCATGCAAGACAAACACTCTACCACTGAGCCACCTTCCCAGCCCTTTTTAAAAGTTCTTATTGGAGCCTGTAATCCTATCTACTCAGGAGGCTGAGATCTGAGGATCACAGTTCAAAGCCAACCTAGGCAGGAAAGTCTGTGAGACTCTTATCTTCAATTAACCACCAGAAAACCAGAAGTGGTGCTCTGGCTCAAGTGGTAGAGCACTCCCCTTAAGCTGAAGAGCTGAGGGATAGCACCCAAGCCCAGAGTTCAAGCCCCACAAACAACAACAATAAAAGAGTTCCAATTGGAAATAACTAACACTGATAATGTTTTCCTAACACTGGAAATGATTCTGAGGGTACACATCAAATTCCAACTCCAAATTTCTGATGCAACTTCAATTAAAAAAAAATGAGGCTTGAGAACTCTACAAGACATGTAGCTGCAAGGTGGAAGCTGGTCACCATTGAATAGCACAGAGTGTGCGTTCACACACAGCTGATGCAGATCATGGAAACTTTGCAAAAGTGCCATGCATTTGTAGTTAAGAGTATAATGTAGATTGCTTAGTCTTGTAATCCTCTCACTTTTGGAGTAGAGAAAGCTATGTACAGAGTTGGCTCTACAAAATGAATTGTTTAGTCTTGGGAAAGAAGTAGGAGGCACCATGAATATGCTTCCCTCATATATTTCATGTTTTGTTTTGTTTTTGGTCCGGTCGTGGGGCCTGAACTCTGGGCCTGGGCGCTGTCCCTCAGCTCTTCAGCTCAAGGCTAGCGCTCTACCACTTGAGCCACAGCGCCACCTCCGGCTTTTTCTTTTTGCTTATGTGGTGCTGAGGAATCGAACCCAGGGCCTCAGGGATGCAAGGCAAGCACTCTACCACTGAGCCACCTTCCCAGCCCCACATATTTCATGTTTTGATGTTCATCTTACCTCATCTTTCTACCTCCACCCGCCCATCCCTATCATTTTTCTCTTAAACAGGATCTCTCTAGGTATCCCAGGCTAGGCTGGAAATCTTAATCTTTCTGTCAGCTTCTAGAGTAGAATTACAAGTGTGTACCACCACCCCTAGTTTTCAATTTTTTCTTGATTTGAACATTTAGTTGCAAAAGAAATAAATGACAGGTAGGCATGCTGGTGAATCCCTGTAGTCTCAGCATTCAGGAGTCTGAGACAGGAGGATTGGGAGTAGAGTTACCTAGTGAGACTGTCTGTAAGAAAAGAAAAGAGAGGGCTGGGAAGGTGGCTCAGTGGTAGAGTGCTTGCCTAGCATGCATGAAGTCCTGGATTTAATTCCTCAGCACCACATAAACAGACAAAGCTGGAAATAGCACTGTGGCTCAAGTGATAGTTAGTCTTGAGCAAAAGAAGCTCAGGGACAGTGACCAGGTTCTGAGTTCAAGCCACGACTGGCAAAAAAAAGGATGGGGGGGAAGGGAGGTGAATGGAAGGAGAGAAGGTTAAAAAAAGAGAATAATTATTGGAAAGTTAGCATTATGAAATTGTGAAAAGGAAACATGAATTCAGTTTGTCCCTCCAGTCATCCCCCACCTTGTCCCCTCATAGGTCATGAACTTAACCTTCTGGGACATAGCCTCTCTTGCTTTTTCCTGTTTGCATATAAATGTCTGTATATATACACACTAATATTTGTACATACACATAAACCATCTATATGTACCAATGGAGGGACATTCTTTTTCCAAAAATGGGTTCCTCTCATGCATAAATATTGCTTTCCTTTTTTTT